AGCGCCACCTGCCACCTGACCTCATCCTGGGTGGATCTGGGGCCTGTCTTCTGGCCACGTTGGGTCCGCCACACAGAGTGCGACACTTCCCACACTGGCTGCTCCTGGCCTCCTGGCATGACCTGCCGTCCTGCCCAGTTCACCCACATCAAGCTCCTGGTCTGGCACTGCTGGATGAGCAAGGACCCAGCCATAGACACGGGCAGGATTCTCCAGCAATGCACCTGGAGGCAGATCCCCTACCCAGTAGTGTCTGCTTGCAAGTGCTCCTGTCGGTAATAGGACAATGAGGGGCAGGGGGCTCTTCCCCCACTGGAGGGGTGGGATCACGGGTGCATTGCCACCTCGGTGCTCCTTCAGGGGGTTGCTATCATGTTGCAGCAGTTTGAAATTGCCTGCACAGCCAAGGCTTGAGAAGCTGAGCGGAGGACGGCATGATCCCACCTACGTTCCCTACTGCAGATAGAGCTGGGAGTCCTCTCCAGATGTTCTCCTCTCCACCTGGACCAGCAAGATATCACAGAGAGATACTCCTCTGATCTCTCCATCCACTACAGCCAGGATCCAGCATCCTCCTGGAGGAAGTCCTGAGGCTGTGGAAAGCTGGGGATCCCTAGAAAATTACAGAAGAGGGGGAGCCAGAACTTGGGCTCCCCTCCCATATCCAAGGGAATGAAGCCAGGAACAGAGTGCCATGGGAACTGGGGGCACCAATAGTCATCTCAGGTTTAGATTCATAATTCTACGGCTTTGGGATCCATGGGGGTAATGTGGTGCAGAAATGCTGGTGACGATTATTACCAAAAGGAAGCGCAGCTGTGTGTGTGCAGAAATAAAGATACAGAATAAGAACTTGTAGGAATCTGTGGAGTTTAATATATAAATGGAGCCAAACTGATCCCTTTGCTATCTACAGCTGCTTGGTTACGTGGCACAGCCTGCTGGGCCTTTGCTTATGGGTGATAGGTTCGAATCCCCACTTCGGGACATTGGCTTGTCCCCAGCGCTACCCCAACAAGGCTAATCCCAAAGGGAAGTAAGTGCTGTGCTACTCTGTTAAACCAAGGTCCCCGACCCCTGGTATTGGAGGGTTCCCTGTGGTGGCAGAGCAGGGCAGTGCTGGGTCAGGAGGAGGTGGGTTCTGTACTATGGGCCTGAACCATAGCTCACTGCAATCCTGGGAGCCTTCCCATTAAGCTTAGCTTACTGGGCACTGGCGCAGGCTCTCGGAAGTGGGGTCACTTCTGCTCCCTCTGTCCCTTACCTGGGCACGAGGAGAAGAGAGACAGCCAGAGGGAGGCAAGGGGGCCAGTGCCAGCAGGAAGGGCAGTGGTTAGCTGTTTACACAGGGAGTCCTTGTGCCTGCCTGTTGTTTGAGCGATTTATCTGCTGTGAAGGACTGGGGACAGGGTCGGCTCCGTTTCCCGACACAGCCCAAACAAACGAACCCAAAGCAGCCCTGTGCTTCTCATCGCCGGGCCTGCAGCAGCCTCCACGGCTACCTTGATTCAAGCCCTGCTCTCCCCTCGGGCTTGGTCTGTGTCTCCTGCCCTATACCAATTACAGTGAAACGCTTGCCTGCAGCTCAGTACTTCTCTGTGTAGAGCAGAGGTAATGGGGCTCGGGAGGACCGGCATCAGTAATGAAATGAGCTCGGTGGTCATTAGCCCAGTGCAGAGCACCAACGCACTGCTAACAGACATCTGACTGTCTCTTCCTCGGCGCAGGATTGGAAGAGCAGGGGGGAGCTGCAGATTCAGATCGAGATACACTGGCTGCACGTGTGCGCATTGCAAACAGCGGCAGGTCAGGCATACAGTTGCTGCAGGGCAAGGGGTACTGGTGTGGGTTGCGAGGGGTTGGACTGCGTGGGGGAGGGGGGGGAGCGGCAGACCAGCCCAAAGGTGCATCAGCAGAGCTGTGGAGAGCCCTAGACTAGAATAGCAGGGGATGCATGGCCTTGGCTTTGTGTAGTCTGCTGAGCAGCCGGCACCCTCTGATTTCTGTGGGGCACAGGGCGGAAGGAACGCTGGGAGAAGCTGCGGCGTCTGCAGCAGTGTGACATACACCAGGAAACCGTGAGAAGCAGAGCTTTGCAGTGAATTCAGTACTAACACAAATCCCACACTCGACGGGGCGTTATTCGTTTGCAAGATTTCATTTCTCCAAACCTTTGCTTGCTCAAGAGCTGCTGCAGAAACTGCACAGTTAGGTCTTGAACCAGAGCAGCTGTTGGGGAAGACCTGGATGGAGACAAAGGGTTTGGCAGCTAAAGGGGAGCGGGAGGATGGAGGGCACAGAGGAGGCAGCTGTGGCAGAGGGAGTGGGGAGGTTTGGGCAGCTAGCAGTAAAGTCAAGCTTTTCTCACTGGGGCAGGTCTGACAGCTGGGTGGTGTGGGGCTGGGAGAGCTCGCCCCTTGGGGAGGGGTTGGCAGTTGAGGGGGAAGAGGGAAACTGGGCCACTTGGGGAAGGAGGCACAAGAATCTTGTTACGAGGGGATAGTTTGGCAGCAGCAAAAGGGGCACTGCCTCTCTCCTCTCCCCTCACTGGTCTGTTTCCTCTTTCCACCATCAACCTGTGTGCACCGGCTCAGCAACACTCCTGGTTGATGTGGGTGCTGGATTAGAATAGCAGGGAGAGCTGCAGACCAGGACGGAGGGGCACTGGGAGAGCAGGTCTGGGTGCTGGATTAGAATAGCAGGGAGAGCTGCAGACCAGGACGGAGGGGCACTGGGAGAGCAGGTCTGGAGTAGCAGGGACCTGCAGATCAAGAATGGGGCATATTAGTATTTGGCAGAGCTGTGTGGGAACCCAGGACTGGAACAGAAGAGTTGCTGCAGGTTCACTCAAGTGCACCAGATGCAAGGGGGAAGCCTAGGGCTGGGTGTACTACCCATACTGGGGTGAAAAGGGCACCCGTATATACAGGATATGAGAGGATAAAACTGGATTCGATGACAAAAAATGGTGGAAGCTTTGCTTGGGAGCTCAAAGCACCCCCGCACACCCAAGGCTTAGCCCCTCCCTGCTGGTGTCATGGTACAATGGGGCCCGAGTGGCAGGCAGCTTCCCATCATTTTCTGTGGCCATGAGACAGAGCTGGCTTGTTCTGCGTACGCTGGCACTGACACGGCTATCTTCCTCTCAGCTAGGGGTGCCCCATGGCAGGGGTTTTGCTCGGAGTCAGCTAACGCCAGTGCTAGCAGGCTCTGACAACTGGAGATCTTCCCAAGGCTGGAGCTTACCAGATCCGAAGCACTCATACAGGAGCCCTTTGGGAACCAGAGCAAATGTTCTCCTGATCGTTTAGCCCCCTCTCATTTTAGAACAGGGCAAGTCCCATTTGTTTTCATGATGGAGACCAAATCTAAACAGAAATTGTCTCCTGGATAGCTCCCTTCCCAGGCCCCCAACCATCTCTCATCCCATCCCCAAGTGCCCAGTCGCAACTGCGGTAATTGCTTATGTGGAAAAGTAACAGGAAAGAAATGACTGTACCCGGTCCTGCGGTGGCTCTGCTGCCCAGGTGCTTTCTCCTGGTGCCTCTTGTGGGCCAGCAGCTACCAGTGGAGACAAACCAGGCTAGTTCCGCCTCCCTGTTCCAGCCGCTTTTTACAGGTGTCGTGGTGGCAGTTTGACAAGCACAGCCAACTAATTTTCAAGCTGCATCACTGGATAAAGAACTGCCAAGAGAGATACCCGAGCTCTCACTCTTAATAACAACCATCTAGAGGCTTCACCAGGGGCAAAACACAGCTGTCCATCTCCTAAGCGAGGTGGGCTGCCTTGAGCACGCACCATCTGGCCTCCTGTTTGCTGCTGGATACAGTTCAAGGGGCTGGGGCAAATCTTACAGGCCTTGTGTAGGCCAGCACCTCCTTAACTTGGGGGCTGCCTCTTGCTCTCTAGAGCGGCAGTAACACTTCCCACCACTGCTGCCAGGGACGCAGGGAGGATTAGCTACCAACTAATGTTAGCGCTGCCCTGCCCTGCAGAGCGGTGCCAACACACGGCACCCGCGTGCACGCACACAAGCGGGAGATTTCTGATTTAGACCAAAGACGATGCCAAAAATTCTCCCGCGTGGTGTCTTGGGTTCACTTCTGGTTCCTGCAAAGTGAATCACTCACAAAGAGTTTGAGCAAACAAGTTCCAGCACCCAGCCTCGCTCCATGTTTTCTGGCATGTTATAATTGCAACGAATGGATCCAAATTATAGGTTTCTGTCATCAAATGCGATCATCTCCTCAACCCCTGGAGACAACACAGCCTCTGTGAACTCCCTCCCTCGCTCCCTCCTCAGCCTTCCTGTATGAACAGATGTTGGGCAGCAGCGCCCTCTACTGGATGGTAATTGTTGTTTGTAGACTGGGTAAGAACGGTACCAAGAACCAACCCAGCCCATTTAACACGTGGCCTAGTCCTGACGAGACACCAGAAGGCCACGGGGTACAATGCTGCTGGTCTACCTACTGAGCTGCATGCCCTCTCCCTCCTACAGAAGGAACAGGAGAGACAGACACGGGAGGCGAAGCGTTCTGAAGACCGGGACAGCACAAGGGCTTAAAATGGCCAATGCGACATGGAAACTATTAACAGAGGGGGAGAGTGGCCCCAACCCCCTAGCTACAGTGGCACCAACATCCCAGTCAGGGCTAATGGGCCCTTTACAGCAGTTAGAGTGAAGTGGTGCACCAATGGGCATGACATAGAGCTGTTATGCCAGCTCCCATCTGCACTGGGGGAATTCCCTGGGGGCCGGATCTGCTGGTTTTCCAGCCCCTTTATGCCACTGGAACGGTTTAGAGGGGCTAAGATGAACCATGCCTTTTAAGTGTATAATGGTTACTAACAGCAGGCTCTAACCCCACAGGACCGTCTTCAGGGGGAAACACCATTTCCCCACCCCTCCAGGCTCCCCACCTCTGCAGGCAGCAGTGGGAAGGAGGGGAAGAACAGACTGCAGGCCTGGGATGGGAGAATCACACCAAGATGCTTGTTTGTGCTGATTTTATGTCTTGGTCGAATCTTTAATATGTATTGTAACATGAAGAGCCACCCCCAAACCATCGCCCCCACCACTGTGAACGCTATGGTGGCTAACGCCTCCCAGAGGCCAGGATCCGTTTATCTTCAACATCCTACTATCTTGTGGGCATCACTCTGGTTATGGTTCTTCCCCAGGTTAGGCACGGTCTTGCTTGTGGAAAGGCTGAGAAAGGCCCCATCACATCCCCTGTGCTAGCTGGTTAGTCAGGGCAACGCTCCATGTTTACGCCCCACCTCTGTGAAGGCCTCCACGCAGCGGTCGATGTCGTCCTCACTGTGGACGGCTGAGATCTGCACCCGGATCCGCGCCTTCCCCTTGGGGACCACGGGGTAGCTGAAGCCGATGACATAAATGCCTGGTGATGAGAGTCATGTGCAAGGGGGAGGCAAACATTAATACTGGGGCTCGTTTACTGGTGGGAGGGAGTCTTCAGGGGTTTTAGCTCCTTTTCTCCCCCCGCCCCCCGGTAAGCAGGGATCAGACACAGCAGCACACAACTCCATGCTGGTGCTGGAAGGGCGCCTCCTACAGAGCTGCGAGGGAAGCCCTGGGAAGGGCAAATGGTATATGTGCTGCCCAGCAGAGCGGCGGGGTAGGGAAAATTTCTTCTCCAAGGCCCTATAGCAAAGCAGAGGCAGTGTGAAAGGGAATAACTAGAGTGGGGTGCTTCCCCATTGCTGGAGGGGCTGAGGAGGTACAGAAAATCCCCTACGGCTACCAGACATGGAGTAAGATAGCTACAGGGAAAGAGGATCAGAGGCCATCCCTTCATCTGCACGTGACACCACCACCTGACAGCCCCAGCCCTATCTGGGTTTACCTCTCTCCAGCATGTCATCAGCCATCACGGACGCTAGCCGGGCCTTGCCCAGCATCACAGGGCAGATGGGGTGATCATTCCCCGAGATGCTGAATCCGGCTGCAGCCATCTTGCTTCGGAACCTGCCCGGGGGGGAAGGGGAAGAGGAGCACATCATCCCTGCTTGGCGAAGCCCTTCCCCTCAGCCCACTGCTCTGGCACCTGCGTGGCTCTGCACTGTCCTAGCTTCTCCACGGCCAGGATCAAACTCCGCACCACCCAACCTGCGTGCGGAACGGGCCATTCCTCCGAGATCCCCTCCTATTTTCTGCCCACAGGCTCCGCTGTGCCACTCTGGCTATCATGGCGCCTTCCGCATCCAGACTGGTGCCTGGCATGTGGGGTCATGCTGGAGCTTGCACTAGGTAATCCCACAGCTATGATATCACAGCCATCTCCCTGGAAACCACAGGTGGTGCTATCAGCAGAGGATGGGAAAAGAACCAGAGACAACTCACTCCTGAGCAGAAAGGAGTCTACTGGCCAAGGGGGTGAGATGGTCAAGGAAGTGACTGCATGGAGAAGGGGCTTATTGGGGGTCTCCCGCAGAGAAAGGATCCCAGGTCCTCAGCCCTCACCGCCTGGTCTTGGCCACCATGGACTGCGCAATGGCATTGCTCTCCATGAGCAGGTCCAGGGCCTTGGAGGCACAGCCCACGACAGCAGGAGGCAGGCTGTTGGAGAAGAGGTACGGGCGGGAGCGCTGGCGCAGCAGGTCAATAAGGGCCTTGGGGCCAGTTGTGTAGCCACCTGCAGGGGGAGGAGACAGAAAGAGAGCATCATTTGGGACAGGGGGAGGAACAGCCAACAATGGGACTCCAGGAAACGCCCCCCTCCCCAGTAACACAGGCAGCAGTGCCTGGGATCCCAGCTGGTTAGTTTCACTAAATTGTCCCCCCTTGGGTGCCCAGGTGTGACGTCTCCAAAGGGAGGTCAGAGGAGGGTGCACCTGGCAGGGCTTGCTAGACCCCCTTCACCCTTGCTGTAGTGACCCTCGTTGGGTCCAGGCCCTTCAGCTCCTGTCCATGTCTTGGTGTTCCCCATCGGTTCTGTACTGTTAAAGGGAGGGGGCAGAAGGGTTTCGGGGAGCTCTCGGGTACAGGGCCACGTAGAAAGACAAGGCCCCAGAAAGGGGAATATCTGAACCTGCTGCTCCTCCAAGTGCCTTCCCCAGCGTTGAGTTGACAATGTCCACTTGGTCCATTACCCCCAGCAGTTCATCAGTACCCCTGCGAGGAGAGAACACGACCCCATCAGCCCTGGCAGCTCCGACCTGGGGGGCTGGGCCGTGGTGGCTGTGCCCTGGCACCAGTTCATTGCCACTTTCTCTCCAGCATGGCTCTGATGTTTTCCCAGTCCTGATGGAATAGCCACGCCTCCAGTGGCAGGTTAACCCAATGGGCACCGCCACCCATTTGCATTCCCACCACCAGCTTTGTGCTAAAACAAAGGATACGCAGAACCAGGACAGTAGCTATGGATGCAGGATGTGAAATCCCGATGTGCCGTGCTGTGGGAAGGCCTTGTCCAGCCAGCGGCAGCGTAAAGCAGCAGGGAGCAGGCCAGGGAAGCATGGCTAGCCAGCCTGGCTGGCCTCCTCAGGGGAGTTCTCTCTCCAGATGAGGTGAGGTCGCCTCCTGCAGGAGGGAGCCAGCCCTGCTAGCAAAGGCAGAACTGGGGGCTCGGCGCGTGGGCTCCTCATCCCTCCCCAGTGCAGGCTGCTCTTACTTCCTGCACACAGCAAACTGGTGGTTTCATAAGCCAGAGCAGAGACACAGCCCCTCTGAGTATGCTCCGAACAGGCCCCTGCCCACCCACGCCCCAAGACTGAGAATGCTACCCCCAAAATCTGAGCCCACCCCCGTTATGCCACTCCCTGACACAAAGACAGGTGTAGAAAGGAGGGTGCTACCATCTTGTAAGGGGGCGGGGGAGGTCAATGGCCAGGTGGGGATCCCTTCAAGGACTAGTGGCTCTAAGGATCCACAGCCCCACAAGAAAGAAACCCCCTATTCAAACCCATGGCTGGTCTAGCCCCAGAGACTGAGACGTGGGACTAGCAGGAAGGTCTGGTCTTGTACCGCCCATTGGGCCCAAGGAAGCCAGTGGCATGGCATTCATCGATGAAGACGAGGGCCTGGTATTTCTGGGCCAGGCTGCAGATCTCCTTCAACGGGGCGATGTCACCATCCATGGAAAAGGCACCATCGGTAGCCACCAGCCTCAGGCGGTGTTTCTATGGAAGAGAGTGTGGCAGGCTGCAAGGGATCATGGGTAAAGACAACAGCTTGAGCAAATGTGTTTGGGAAGTGGGAGGAAATGGAGACTGGGGTCTAGTACTCCTGGTACGTGACTATATGGCCCCCACCCACCATCTCCCCTCCATCCATTCTTGAGCTCACATTCTGGCAGGCTTCCTCCTGCCAACGAGCAAAGGATTGGATTCTCCCTAGAGTCTAGCAAGGCGGCTTCGAATGCTGGCCAAAGGAGGTTACTCCTCTAGGAGATGCAAAGTTATTCTCTGGGAGATGGGCACCTTGCTCCTAGACTGACAGTGGGTCACAGACCGAGTGCATCCCCAGGGGAGACCACGTCTTTGTACCTGTGCATCCTGCAGCTTGGCCTCCAGGTCCTGCATGTCCATGTGCTTGTAGCGGTATTTATTAGCCTTGCACAGGCGGATCCCGTCAATGATGGAGGCATGATTCAGCTCGTCCGACAGCACTGCATCTTCTGGGGTCAGCAGTGCCTGCAGACAGCAAAACAATGGGCTGCGGTGGGTTACGGGGGGAGTGTCCTTGCTAGATGCATGAGCAAAATTCTGTGTCGCCACAGTACTCTGGCTTGGCAGCCTCACTAGCCGACCACCAGAACCCTCTGCATCCTATTGGTGGTCAGGCCACTCATGGGGCAGTGTCAGGGCACCACGTCTCTCCTCATGTCATGGGATACACCACTAAGGCTTCTATCTCTCAGCTCCTTTTCCCCGCCATGGGGTTCCTCTCCCTTTGCATTCTTTGTTCCATAAGCCACGTCTCTGCCAACCCTACAGGATGCGCTGACTTCCTCTACCAGGGCTGGGCCTAGGTTGGGGACAGTCGCCCCTTGCCCCACACTTTTGGGATCCTCGCCATCACCATGCACCCACAAGGGGCTACCCATCCTCCCCTGCAGGCCTCAGCCACCCTCGCCAGTATGCATGAGCCGCCTCCCCTACTTTTTAGGTGGAGTGGCTGCATCCGTTTTGAATTCTCATGTGAGCGGGTCCAGAGAGCTCAGGTTGGGGATGTTGGGGGCTTGCAGAAGGTGGCCAACAGTGATGGGTCGCTCTGAGGAGACAGCTGGATGGGTTCCACTGCAGAGGCCCACCCAAAACTTAGGATTCGTTGTGATGGTCACCCTACTAGGAAGGAGGAGATGAAGGCTGACTAGAAAGCTCCATGGCACCTCAGCCCCCCACCCCAGCAGCACACAGAGCCATTGGGTCTTCTCTCTATCCCTATCTCATCTCCCTTAACTTCAGCTTGCAACCTGCTGAGGGAAATGTGATCATCAGCAGAAGCAACTGCTTTGGGAGCTTGGTTTGTTGCCTATGTAGCCCTTCCCCTTGCTGCCCCCTACACACAAAACACAACACATGCACTATGAACCTCAAAGATACCAGCATTGGCATCAAAGCAGCTGGCATAGAGGATGGCGTCTTCTCTCTGGTGGAAACGAGAGATCTTCTCCTCCAGGTTCTTGTGTATATTCTAGAGAGAGACAAGACAGAGAGTGAGGGATTTCTATTAACATGACCAGTGGTCCAGCTAGAGTTCCCTGCTTGCCATGGTTTTCTGCGTGGGATGCCTATTTTTTTTCCAGATGAGTTTTCTCACAAAGGAACCTAAATTGTGGTTATAATTTTTGGTCCCACAAACCAATCACTACAACCACAAGACTCCAAACCAACACAGACACAGGGCACTTGCGCTGAGGCACTTACCATTTTTAACTGAGACGTTGCCCCAAAAAGTTTAAGTGGCACACAAAGGGCCCAGATCCTCAGCTGATGTAAACTGGGGTAGCTTCATTGATGCCATGGAAGCTACCTCAAGTTATTGTAGCTGCAGGTCTGGCCCTGGGAAATTTGGGGTGTTTATTTTATAACTAGAGATCCTCAAGGTTTTTTACAACCCTGGGTTTTTTTTTATTGGTTTAACGAGAAAGCCTATTTTATACCCTTAAACTGACAGTGCATGTAGGGGGGTGTCTGTGTGGCCATGTGTACGGATAAGCATGTAGAGCTGTATCTGTGTGGACATGCATGTGCTGATAAGTGTTCAGAGAAAGGGAAGCACGCGAGCAGCATGCCTGCTCTGTTGTTATAGGTAACTATGGAGGCAAAGCTGAAGGCTTCTTTCCTCTGTGGTGGATATAGGATTGGTTTGGGGGAAATCAAGATCCTGGGAAGAAATCATGGAGAATGGCAGCTAATTAATATACATGGGAGTGAGGGCTTTGCCTTCTCCCAGGAGCCCATGTGGAGACCTGGTTGGGGGGGGAGGGATAGCTCAGTGGTTTGAGCATTGGCCTGCTAAACCCAGGGTTGTGAGTTCAATCCTTGAGGGGGCCACTTAGGGAATCTGGGGCAAAATCAGGACTTGGTCCTGCTAGTGAAGGCAGGGGGCTGGACTCGATGACCTTTCAAGGTCCCTTCCAGTTCTAGGAGATGGGATATCTCCATTAATTATTATAATTGGTTATTTATTGGAGTGGAAGGGACAGGCTCACACAGTAAGGGGGGGGACACACCACAGAGTGAGGAGTAAAGGGAAGGGAGTGGGGACAGCACATCCATGGGGAGAGGGACAGGAGAAGAGATCAATGGAGGAGGAAAGGAGAAACAAGTAGGGGAGAAGAGGAGAGAAAAGAGGGGCTAGACCTAAAGCACTCTACTTGGTTCCACCTGGGAGCAGTGTGGCTTGGTGACAGATTATTGGGTTTTAGACCCAGGGAAAGGCTACTACTCCGCTCTGGATTCCAGCCCCACCCATACCTGAGTCCCGCAGATGAAACGGACAGAGCTGAGACCAGCTCCGAACTTCTCCAGGGCCTCTAGTCCAGAGCGGATCACCTCAGGGTGGCTGGAGAGCCCTAGATAGTTATTAGCACAGAAATTCAGGATCTCTGCAAAGAGGAGGAGGGCAGGAAGGAGTGAGCAATGCATATAAATCCTACCCACCCCCTGATGCAGCAAGACAATAGAGCAAACCTCAGCCAATAGCAGGACTGAAGCTAACACACCAAAAGCAGCCAGGTATGTGCCCGGAACCATGGAAACATTCTTATGTCACATTTCCAGCGTGCCCCCTGGGCTGATTATTGAGCAAAAGTAGATAAGTGCAATTGCTTCACAATGACCCATTACTGAAGTGGGCTGTAGCCCACGAAAGCTTATGCTCAAATAAATTTGTTAGTCTTTAAGGTGCCACAAGTACTCCTGTTCTTCTTGTAACAGTTTAGCCAGTTTCCTCTGTCTCTCTCCTCACGTAAGCAGAGGCATGGCAGTGAGGATCGGTCTATCTGGGATCTCCATCCAGCAGGAGACAGGCGGCCTGTTGCTTCAGCAGGCAGGCTGAGTTTCCGGTTGTACTGGTTTTTAAATTCAGGTTCCAAAAAAAAGGCTGATTCAAGGACAGTGCTAAAATTCTGGCTTTTTCTGGCCACTTTGTTTTTTGAATATAGGATGAAAATCTGAAAACTCAGATAAAAGTAGGCAAACCAATTCTCAGATGACAACACGAGCAAGTATCACCTCTTCCAGGCCCTAAATAGAAAACCAATGTCACAACCGAGTCCCGCTCTCTGAACAGACTCCAGTCAGTTGTGACTGGCTCCAACCACAAATCCCATGTGCTGCTAAGCTCCCTGGGCCTGGGTAGCGACTGGTCACTATTCCTACCACTAGGTCTTTCAGGCATACTCCCAGGTGCAGGCCCTACATCTGACACCCTTCGTGGGCACTGAGACCCCAGAGTCCAAGCACCTCAGAGCCAGGAACCAGTGCCCCAGCCTCGGAGCCCCCAGTTGCTACACATTCCCCAGAGTTCATCTGGCTGTGGGATCGCTATTTTTTTCTAGTTAACCCCTCCCAGGACAACACGGCAGCAAAGCAAGGACATACAGGCTTATCAAAGGAATTTCTCACACACACTTTATTCTTAAAAAGCTCAAGAGTGTTACAGATCTATTGAAAACAACAAACTTTGGACACAGCCTCCTCAGTGTCCTCTCCCGCTGGTGAGTCCTGGGTTTGGTTCTGTCCTTTAGGGGAAGCCAAGCTCCACCTGCCTCCACTCCCTCTAGCTAAAAGAAGAACAGGAGGACTTGTGGCACCTTAGAGACTAACAAATTTATTAGAGCATAAGCTTTCGTGGACTACAGCCCACTTCTTCGGATGCATTCTGGCAATGACTCAGACAGCATGTCTTAAGACAGACTCTGACACCTTTTCTGTGCCTGCTCTTCCTCTGGAGATTCATCCAACACCCACCGCCAGCTTCCAGGCAGGGAGGGAATCAGTCAACATTATTGGCCCTGCCAATAGAACCCCCGTTGCTCTAGGAATGGATTGCTGTGCTCTGTCCCAGCTTTTCAGACAGTTTCTGGACATGGGGTTGAGTTCCTGCTACAGACTGAATGCTCCAAGCCATACTGAAGATTACATTTGAAATGAAGGTTGAAATACAATAGGTGTTCACAAAACAAAAATGGGATTCTGAAACTGACACTGACACCCCCCTTTCAACCGTCACCATTGTGGCAGGTCCCAGACACAAAGGGCTGGGAACGGATAAGGACCAATGCTTATTATTTCTGTTTAACATTTATACTGTGGTAGAAGCCAAAGGCCTCAGTATCAGAGTCTTACTGTGCTAGGTGTTGCGTGCACACACACACACACACACAGTGTGTCCTGGCCCAAAGAGCTTTCCATCCAAATAAACCCTCATTATGGCCAGTTAATGCAGACAGGGTCAAACCATCTTTAAAACAAAACAAAAAAAACCACCAATTAAACTACAACAACAAAAAAAGGGGGTGGGGGGGCAGTGTTTGTTTTAAATATGTAGAAATCAGCAAAATTAGGCCCTGATCACACTGGCTTGCCAAACCATGACCCCATATCCTGCAAATACTTATGCATATACTTATCTTTACTCACACGAGTAATCCCATTGAACTCAAGGAGATCACTCACATGCTTAAATTAAAGCATATGCATATGTTTGCAGGATCAGGGTCAACCTAGGCCCTTAAAAAACCAGGTTAGCAACAAGCATGTTTAAACACAGTTTCTTAATTCCATTTGTAGAACAGAGTTAGCGCCTAAGGGCTTAAGATATACTACAAAAGCCTCAGTGTCAGAGGACTGAGCTGCAATATGCTATCTCAAGACACGGTCAAAGGTTGGTTCTCTCTTGTAGACAGGTCCTTACCTATGTATTAACCATATCAGGGGGCCTCAGGAAGTCAGCTTCCCCAGTTCTGTTTGTTTGGTTTTTCTGTTGTGATTTAGTATAAATGGGCCGAAATACTGCCAGAGATAGGTACTTGTCTAGACAGGGATCATCAACAGCCAGGTGTGGGTTAAGCCTTTTATAGAATAGGAATATTACATTTCTACAATATATCCCAGAGTGATACAACCGAACAGCTCATGGAAGATGGAGGTTGGCCATGTGAGTGGCTTAGGTTTTTCAAGTGGGCTTTGAAATTTATATACAGTGGGGTAGAAAGTCTGCATTTTCTCCATGGGTTTTGTCAAAAAAACTAGAGCTCCTACTCTCAGTGTACCAGGCCAATTTTTATTCTTTCTATTACAATAGTTCCCCAACTGTGACTGGGGCTCCATTGTGCTGGGCATCATAAAAAAAACATAGCAAGAGACAGAGAAAGTGTGAGAGAAGGGAATATTAATAATATTCCCATTTGGCAGATGGGGAAACCGAGCAGATATTCACAATGCTGAGGCCGGAAGGGACCAGTGTGATCATCTATTTGACCTCCTGCGTAACACAGGGCATAGGAATTAATTTAGGGAAGTCCTGTTTGGATTAGAACATGTCTTATAGAAAAAAAAACATCCAATCTTGATTTTAAAATTTTCAGGGATGGAGAATCCACCATCACCTTTGGTAATTTGTTCCCATGATTAATTACCCTCACTGTTAAAAAGTGCACCACACACTGGAAGAAAATAAACAAACAAACAACAGGAAAGTTACTTGGAAATGATGCAAGAAATCCAAAACAACTATATAAAACAAAACAAAACAAAAAAAAACCTCAGGACAGCCATCCAACACAAACAAAAAGTGGAACCAACTACAACTACTCCACAACCCACAGAACAACACTGACCCAGAACACCTCTGGGAGAAACCATGGCACCGTACCTACTACATGGACATTACTCGGCATCCAAACGTCATCAATTTATGGAGCTGAATTATCTGTACTCTCCAAGGGACGGAGCTTCTGTCCCACTACAGAACCTGATGCCATATTAACATGTGGAAAACTAGAACAATTTTTCCACTATCTCCTCCTCAAAGAATAACGACATCACTCACAATTACCATGTCCCCACATACAACTTCCGTACCCGATGTGGCCCTAGGGCCAAAAAGTTTGCCCACCCCTGTTCTACATGCTTCCCAAGATACACAGACAAGGGAACCCAGGCAGACCCATCATATCTGGCCACAGCACTCTTACTGAAGGAATATTGGAACTCATAGAAACCATCTTCAAACCACTCACTGCACAAAGGTCCAGTTTCCTCCAGGACACAACCGACTTCCTCCACAAACTCCGTAACATTAACAATCTCCCTTGGAACACCATCCATGTCACTTCCCTATACAACAACATCCCTCACAATGACAGCATGGCTGCCTGCCTCAAATATTTACAAGACAATGGACAACCCACAGATATCCACCCCAAACGCTCTCCCAACTCATCCATTACATCCTCACCCATAACAATTTTACATTCAACAACAAACACTTTGTCCAAACCATGGGAACAGCCCTGGTTACTAGGATGACTCCCCAATATGCCAACCTCTTCATGGGCTACCTTGAAGAATTTCTGGACAAGTGCACCACAAAACCAATGATATACCTGAGATACATTGATGATATTTTCATCCTCTGGACAAACTGCTTAAACTCCCTCTCAGATTTCCACCACAACTTCAAAAACCACTATCTGTCCATTAAACTCTCTCTGGAACACTCCCACACTAGCATCAACTTCCTGGACACCCCAATCAGCTTCAGCAATGGAACCCTACAGACAATCATATACAAGAAACCTGATGGATTGCCACACCTACCCTCATAGATCCAGTAACCACCTCTAACTCCCCAAGAAATCTGTTGTCTACAGCCAGGCACTCAGGTACTACAGAATATGCTCCAAGGAGAAAGTCTGGGATATACACATTAATACACTCAAAACCAACTTCACCAAACAAGGACACTCCACCAGAGAAGTAGATCGCATCACCTCACGCTGGAACCCATATGGGGTTTCATCAAACAACTACAATCCATACTAAGTGGAGACCTCATCTTGAAAGAAATCTTTTCTGATCCCTCACGTCTGGCCTTCAAACAACTCCCCAAGCTCATCACCAGAAGCAAGCTCCCCATAAACCAATACACACCAACTCAAAGCAGCACCAGACCCTGCCAGAACAACAAATACAAAACCTGCAGACATATCTCCACTGCTATAATGATCAACACCCCCCACAACACACCTTTCAAAATCCATGCATTCTACACATGCAGTGTACCTCAGCCAATGCACTAAATTCCCCAATAACAAATACTGTATGTGTGTGAAACCAGACAATCATTACGGTCTCAAATGAACTCACACAGAAAAATGATAAGACAAAAACTGACTATCGCCTGTGGGTGAACACTTTTCACTCTCTCCCAGGACTCTGCCACGACCACACAAGCCATGTTAAAGCGCTGCGTTGCCAGTGTAGACTAGCCCTTAGAGCGTCTTCAGCAGACGCCCTACAGCAGTGCAGCTGCATCAGTGCAGGTGTAGACCTGCCCTTAGCGGTGATGCTCACAGTACCTTTCCCAGCCCCGAAGAAGAGTTTGTCTCTCTCCCCAACAGAAGTTGGTCCAATAAAAGCTATTACCTCACCCACCTGGTCTCCACCTTATTTCAAGTCTGAAGAGACAGAGAGTCAGGCTATGTCTACATTAGCACTTTTGCTGGAAAAGCTTGTTTGTCAGGGGTGTGGGGGAAAAAACAAACAAAACAAAACAAAACAAAACCCACACACCTCTGAGTGACGTATGTTACACTGACAAAAGCGCCAGCATAGACAGTCCTATGTCGGTGGGAGACATAGCTACTGCAACTCGTGGGGGGCGGTTTAATTATGCTGACGGGAAAGTTCTCTTCTGCCCACATAGAGCGACTACACAGGAGACCTTAGAGATGTGCCGCTGTAAGGTCTCTAGTGTAGACACAGCCTAAGGCTATGTCTACACTACACAACTTTTAACAACATGGCTGTGCTGCTAAAAGGCATGCAGTGTAGCCGCTGTTTGTTGGCTCTCCTGCCAACAAAAAACTTCCACCCACAACGAGCAGCGTTTGCGTTGTCGGCAGGAGAGCGCTCCTACCAACAAAGCGCTGTTCACACGGACGCCTGTCGTCGGCAAAACTTTTGTCTTTCAGGGGGGTGGAGGGGTGGTGATAACACCTCTGAAAGACAAAAGTTTTGTCGTTCAATTGCCAGTGTAGACATAGCCCAAGTGACTTGCCTGAGGTCACGCAAGAAATCTGCAGAAGAGCGAAGAACTCATCTTCCAAGCCCCAGTCCAGTGCTCATAAATACTACTGCCTTGTGTTGGTCATCCAAAAAACCTTAAAAAGAAGGAACAAATTCATTCCTAACCCTGCAGTGATCACTCTGCTTCTTGAAGTGTGGAGTTTGGATTGCCTTATTTTAGCTGGCATAAACACAAACGTTATTATTGGTCATAAAATCATCCACCTCTTTTTTAAATACTCCAATTCCAGTATTTGACTCCTGCAGCGAGGATTCCACAGGCTGGACTACACACAGCAAGAAGTAGTATTTCCTTTGACTGGCTTTAAATTTACTTGCCATTCGCTTCATCAAGTGAGCCCTGGCTCTCATATTATGGGACTTCATAAGAGGGCAGGATCTGACTATCTTTCACAGTAGTCCTCATAATAATAAATCTGTCAGTTATAAGCATAAAGACAGGTCAAATTAGGCCCAAAATGTATTTGTTTAAAAACAAACAAAAATAAATGAGGTTTTAGAAAAACTGATGCCCACAGAATTGGGTTTTGGTTTTTAATTCAAAGAGAAAGTTCTCAAATAAAACACAAAAACAAATGAAAAGCCCCATACTATGTTCACAAACTGCCTTGCCACATTGTGCTTGTGCAGAACCCAAAAGATATATTGACTAGAAACAAAACTGAATCTGGCTAATCTAACATCATTGTCCAAGATGAGAGAAATTACAAAAAATAAACAGTGTATAAACAATGTCCATTAAACTAGATGTTCAATATTCTTTGTTTTACTTTTTTTTAAATATTATTTTAGCCTGACAATGCTGCTTTAAATCTTCTCAAACACTTCTCCCAGCTTAATTAAACAATCCTTCATTCCGCAATCTTTTGGTGTATGTAACTTCTACCCAAGACCTATCGATCTTCATTGCCCTTGATTCAATAATCTCAGCTACCTCTTTTGTAATCTGAAAACACATTGCTCCAAAGCAGGAGTTTCCTGAAATAATATTGCATTTTCCATGTCTTTTATAAAATACACTCAATAATAATGTTCATGTTTTTACTGCATATGCACACAGGGTTCTCTATCGAGGTTCTCTCCCCCCAGCACATGGGTGGGTCAGACTGTTTTGGCCTCTGTTCATTATCTGATGAATATTAAAGCTGAGTTTCATCTGCTACAGTGCTGCTCTCTCCCCTAAACAGTCTTAAATTCATATGGCGTTTCTCATAATCCTCTGTGGCTTTTTACTAACTGCGCTGTGTGTCTCTCCTCTCCCCCTGTCTAGCCAACACCGGAGACGCGTTAAATTTCATGGATGCAATACCTACCTCCTCTGCTGCCTTCTACGTGGATGTGTGGCCCTTGTTTTGATGTTATAATCCTCTCACTCTTCCAGGTACCAGCGCCTCGGATGCTCTCTAGCTCAGCCTCCAGGACGTGGTTGAGTTGGGCCAGGGCAGCCCTTGCTCTGTAGGAACTACATTGCCCCTGGGAGAGGGGGTAGCTCAGAAGGCGGCTGCACCACATTGCTCCGGCTCAGCTTCACAATGAGAAGGCAAGCGGCAAAGAACCCGATAATGGCAACATGTGGCGGAGGCGGAACCTGAACCAGCCAATCAGAAAGTAGCAACAGGCGCACCAATCAGCGATAGAGTTTATTTAAGGGGACACGGCTAACAGTAAAGACTAGTGTGGGGAGAGCCGAAGCACGAGTACAATGACTGAAACGTGCCCAGCTCTGGTCAGCGACCTCAGCCTAAGGATTGAGGGGCATTGACCCAGCTAGGGTGACCAGACAGCAAGTGTGAAAAATCGGGACAGGGAGTGGGGGGTAATAGGAGCCTATATAAGAAAAAGACCCAAAAATCGGGATTGTCCCTATAAAATCGGGACATCTGGTCACCCTAGACCCAGCACTGCATGGGTCTCATAGCTGTAATAACAAGTGGGTACTACAGGGGAGGATTGAGATACATGGGGGATCTCAGGACTGGAACAGGACAGTTGGGACTAGGGCGCCCAGATAGCAAGGGTGAAAAATCGGGACAGGGTGTCGGGGGTAATAGGCACCTATATAAGAGAGAGCCCCAAAGATCGGGACTGTCCCTATAAAATCGGGACATCTGGTCACCCTAGTTGGGACCACAGGCCAGGAGCAGTATGTAGGGACAGAGGGGTGTGGATGTCCGAGGGGAATGGAAAAGCCGGAGCTGCTGCAGGTCATGACTGAAGTCCAGGCAGGGGCAGATTTAAGGGTCAGAGTTTGGTCAGCAAACCCGCTGCCTGGGGTTCAATGGTCACGTCGCCTTAGGCTTATTTAAATATGAAAAGTAAAAAACAAAAAACACACAACACCCCAATCAAAAATCACAGGCCTAAACAAAAGTGGACTCTAACTGTGTTGGCTTGTGTGTTTCCATTTGGAAATCTTGCACCACAGCAACACGTTTCCTTGGCAAATTGCTCTATGATTCTGTCCAGCTCCAATCTTGCAATCTCATCTTTCTCAATTTTAAGGAGAGCAAGGTCACTCAGCCGTGTCTGTAATAGTGTTGAACACTTTTTGCACGTTCATCACCAGCCACTTGGTAGGGTGAGAAAGAGTCAACACATTTCCATTTCTGGTAAGGTAAAACATCATCAAGAGAACTTGACTCTATGAAATTCAAGTAGCTCTGGACAAGAGCTGTTCCAAGTGACAAACTGAACACCTCTGTGTCTTTTGTAAAATAATACATCTTGAAAGACATAATCTTGTGAACCGAGTTTAAAGAAAAATATGAGTATTTTCCCATGAGTTTAAGAACTTCCTCCTTTGACTTTAAAGTTATTTTGAAGTTGTCTGGGATGGAGGAAACCAGATAGAATAACTACCTCTTCATATCTCTCAAACTGAGATTTTAGTTCCCCGATCATATTGTCTAAGACAGGGGTAGGCAACTTATGGCACGCGTGCCGAAGGCGGCACGCAAGCGGATTTTCAGTGGCACTCACACTGGCAGAGTCCTGGCCAACGGTCCAGGGGGCTCTGCATTTTAACTTAATTTAAAATTAAGCTTCTTAAACATTTTAAAAACCTTATTTACTTTACATACAACAATAGTTTAGTTATATATTATAGACTTATAGAAAGATACCTTCTAAAAACGTTAAAATGTATTACTGGCACGCGAAACCTTAAATTAGAGTGAATAAATGAAGACTCGGCACAGCACTTCTGAAAGGTTGCCGACCCCTGGTTTAAGACCTCAAATATTTCCTTTGATAGTTATCTTTTGCTTCTAACAGAGAATCATGTGCAAATTCATCATCCATGCGGTGTACATGTCTCTTCCTATGACTTGAATAGTTTGCACTTTCAAACCCTATTGCTTCTTACCTGTTGTGAGATTCTTTTATAATTTCCTCATACTTTTCTTCAGATCTGAATTTGCATAGCTCATTCACTGTGCTCTCAAATATCCAGCAGACTTGGAACAGATCAATTTTCTTTGACCAAAGGATTCCAGAGACTGCAGCCACTGTGAGTAAGATCCTATGCCACTATAACAGATTGAGGTAGAACATCCAATGCATCCGAAGAAGTGGGCTGTAGTCCACGAAAGCTTATGCTCTAATAAATTTCTTAGTCTCTAAGGTGCCACAAGTACTCCTGTTCTTTTTGCGGATACAGACTAACACGGCTGCTACTCTGCAACCCATCAAAGACAGGTTGCTTTTTGCTCAACGTATGTCTTACGACTCTTGCATTCAATAACAGTTCCATCTTCTAGGCATTCAATTATACTCTGAAAATTTACTATCATTGCCTCAGTGGCTTTCATTCACACTGCCCATCTAGTCTTGCAGAGAACCTTTAGATTTAAAGGGCTACTTTGTTCTTCAGAAGCCTGTCCAATTTCATCTGTTGCATCAATCCTTCCAACTTCTTCAGTGCACCATCAGGTTCCTCTTCTCTTTGCAAAACTGTTCTCTCTCAAGCAAGAGTTTGAAGATACAGATTATTTTTAGACCTAATCATTAGCTTTTCCCATCGATGGTTAGAGTTCGCAAAATATTTATATATTTCTGCAAAGTTGTGAAGAAAACCTTCAGGGCTGGACTGGCCTTAACTTCAGCAGCATGCCCCAAAACTAGGTTAATTTGATGTGCTGGACAATGGATGTATGGTGCATACACTTTGTCTCCCTTGCCTGAAAGCTATTTTCTAATTTTTGCTTGCAAT